GGGAAAAATAAACCCATATATATATATATATATATATATATATATATATATATAACATAATTGTAGGGATATGGCAGTGGGGATGTGAATGCCTTGGGGTGCACCTACACAGTAAAATTAATACATTTTGGCACCACTTAATTTCCACTTTAGCTTTACATGATCTTGAGTTTTATGTATTGTCGAAGGCTTTCATGGCCAGAATCGTTGGGTTGTTGTGAGTTTTCCAGCATGTATCGCCACTTTCCAACCTCTGAGGATGCCTGCCATAGATGCAGGTGAAACATCAGGAGAGAATGCTTCTGGAACATAGCCATACAGCTTGGAAAACCTACAACAACCCAATCTTGAGTTTTCTCTGTCAAAGATTGTCGACGCCTCACCAAAGTACAACTCCCAGAAAGCCATAAGCCTGAACATGGCCGTTAAAGCAGCATCAAACTGCATTAATTCTGCAGCACAGATGCACCCTTGAATGGCTCATTTCCATCGGAAGTGAATCAAGTGATCAAAACTCCTCTCCTCAATCACCGGATGCTCCCCTTTCCACGATTTGACCTAAGAGGTGAGCATCATATGGGGATTCTGCTCAGATTAACAAGGATTATTACGGGTTCCTCTTGCCATGGAGATTTCCATTCATCCTATATAATACAGTGAATGAAAGCTCCAGATGCTGCAAGCCGGGTTCCCAGAGGAAATCCTCCTCTGATCCTGCCTGGTTCAGATAGATTGAGAAAAGAAAAGAAAAAGGAAGGAAGGAAACAGGAAGGGGTGAAGGAGAAGAAGGAAAAAACATCCAGTCATTCAGAGAGAGGTTTCTCACTCCCACCCTGGTCGACCAACCCAGAAAACAACAAACAGAAGAGAGCCGTTTTTCAGAAAGCCACAGAAGAAGCTAGTGATGGCCATCATGATCAGTCAGGGCTGAGATGAGTATCAGGATGTTTGTTGTGGTTGCAGCCGTTCCCTTCCAGCAACCGACTCCTTTAGCAAATGTAATCATAATGCACCCTGGCCGCCAACGCTGCTGCTTACGCAAACCCACCTCCCCTCCCTCCCTTCTTTACTCTGCCTTAGCAGCAAGCAAGAGACCCTTTGCAAAGGTAGACCGCCTTGGGGCACTCGCATGCAGGCATCCCGCCTACTCCCCCCCCCCCCCCCCCCCCCCCCCCCCCCCCCCCCATCAAGCTCAGGACTTCATTTCCAGGATCATATTCCTTCAACATGAAGAACGCCAACCCCAACTATTTATTTTATAATTTGTGTGTCCAAACAACCCACCCACTTACTCCTTTCTGGCATTCAGACAGCCTAGATTTGGATCTCATCATCTCCAGAGACCCTGAGGACGGTCCATCAAGGAATGCATTGGCAGCTGAGCCTATATAAATATGCATACACACACATACAGCTATTAATACTATTTTTTACTGTTTCAATGAATGTTTTACTTATTGTTTTAATTGTTATTATATTGCTCTGTTATATGTTTGGCATCAAATTGTTGCCAAATGTAAGCCGTCCTGAGTCTCCCTTCGGGGGTTGAGAAGGAACAGGATAAAAATGCCAAAAATAAATAAATATGTGCACGAATGTGTGTACACACATATGTTATGTCTATATGCATGCATATATATATATATATATATACACACACACACACATATATATGCACATGTGTATATATGTACATCTGTGTAGCTGTGTGTATGTATATAATTTTAGATGTCTGTGTGCATATATGTGTACATACATGTATGTCCACGTGTATGCATATATGTGAAGGCCTGTGTGTATATACATATATCTGTAGATATATATTTGTGTTTGTGTATGCATGTATAATATATATGTATGCATGTATGTGTAGAAGTGCATATGCCTATGTGTATATATGTGTGCAGCGGAACTGTGGTTCCTAGACTGCTATGTATAACATAATCTGTGGATGCTCAAACACCACATAGCTAAACCCTTTTCCCTAATATAAAATCGCAAAATCAAGGTTTGGGTTTTTCTGATTTTCTTTTTTTTAGGGGGTGGGGAAATATTTCAAACAGTGGGTGGTGAAGTTGCTGTGAGTTTTCCAGGCTGTACGGCCATGTTCCAGAAGCATTCTCTCCTGATGTTTCACCCACATCTATGGCAGGCATCCTCAGAGGTTGTGAGGTCTGTTGGAAACTAAGCGAGTGGGGTTTATATGTTTGTGGAATGTCCAGGGTGGGAGAAATAACTCTTGTCTACTTCAGGCAAGTGTGAATGTTGTAACAGATCACCTTGATTAGCATTGAATAGCCTTGTAGCTTCAAAGCTTGGCTGCTTCCTGCCAGGGGGAATCCTTTGTTGAAAGGTGATTAACTGGCCCTGATTGTTTCTTGTCTGGATGTTGTCTGAGTGGTTAAATTCACTCAGAATGCGTAGATAGGATGGGTTCAACTGTATCTCTATATATGTATATACGCATGTGTGCATGTGGAGCGTGTGTAGCACAAACACCTATATAGTCAACTCTTGAGATCCACCGATTCAACCATCCGCGGATTCATATACACAAGGAAAAGCTGCTTATGCTTTTTTTAAAAAAAAGAGAGAAAAGAACATAAAACTGTAATCTTAAATTCACCCAAGCTGAGGCAGGTTTCCTGGATAAGGAAGGATACATATGCATATACATAGATAGAAAACCTCTCTCTCCTTAGTCACAAAAATGAGTCTCAGTTTCACTTAGTAGTGTATACATACTGTGTGCGTGTGTATATGCATAAGTGTGTGTGTGTGCATGAGTGCACACACTTATTCTTGACACTGTTGAGTCAAACCAAGCTGCAGATAGATAGATAGATAGATAGATGATAGATAGAAGTGTGGGTGGATGGATGGATAAATAGATAGATCGATGTGTGGATAAATTGATTGATTGATGTGTAGATAGATAGATAGATAGATAGATAGATAGATAGATAGATAGATGTGTGTGTAGGTAGGCAGGCAGGTAGGCAGGTAGGTGTGTGGATAAATAGACTGATTGATTGATAGGTAGATAGATAGATAGATAGATAGATAGATAGATAGATAGATAGATAGATGGATGGATGGATAGATGTGTGTGTGAATAGATAGATAGATAGATAGATAGATGCATATATAGATGCATGTGTAGGTAGGTAGGTAGCTGTGTGTGTAGATGGATAGATGTGTGTGTAGGTAGGTAGGTAGATGTGTGGATAAATAGACTGATTGATTGATGTGGATGGATAGATAGATAGCTTGATTGATAGCTGTGTATGTGGATAGACAGACAGACAGACAGAGATAGATAGCTCTGTGTATAGATAGATAGATAGATAGATAGATAGATGCGTGTGTAGGTAGGTAGGTAGCTGTGTGTGTAGATGTTTAGATAGATATCTGTGTGTAGGTAGGTAAGTAGGTAGATAGCTGTGTGTGTAGATGGAGAGATAAATAGATGTGTGTAGGTAGGTAGCTAGCTGTGTGTTTAGATGTTTAGATAGATAGATAGATAGATAGATAGATAGATAGATAGATAGATAGATAGATAGCTGTGTGTGTAGGTAGGTAAGTAAGTAGATAGTTGTGTGTGTAGATAAGTAGGTAGGTTGATAGCTTTGTGTGTAGATTGATACATAGATGGATAGCTGTGTGTATAGGTAAGCTGGTAGACAGATTGTGTGTGTAGATAGCTAAATAGATAGCTGTGTGTGTAGATAGATTGACGCATATATAGATGCGTGTGTAGGTAGGTAGATACACACAGCTATCTATCCACATGCATGGATAAATAGCTGTGTGTATAGATAGATAGATAGATAGATAGATAGATAGATAGATAGATAGATAGATAGATAGCTATGTAGGTAGGTAGGTAAGTAGGCAGCTTGCTGTGTGTGTAGATAGATAGATAGATAGATAGATAGATAGATAGATAGCTGTGTGTGTAGGTAGGTAAGTAGATAGTTGCGTGTGTAGATAGGTAGGTAGGTCGATAGCTTTGTGCGTAGATTGATACATAGATAGATAGCTGTGTGTATAGGTAAGCTGGTAGACAGATTGTGTGTGTAGATAGATAAATAGATAGCTGTGTGTGTAGATAGGTAGGTAGCTGTGTGTGTAGATAGATTGATGCATACATACATGCATGGATGGATAGATAGATAGATAGATAGATAGATAGATAGTTAGATAGATAGATAGCTATGTAGGTAGGTCGGTAGCTTGCTGTGTGTGTAGATAGATAGATAGATAGATAGATAGATAGATAGATAGCTGTGTGTGTAGGTAGGTAAGTAAGTAGATAGTTGCGTGTGTAGATAGGTAGGTAGGTCGATAGCTTTGTGTGTAGATTGATACATAGATAGACTGTGTGTATAGGTAAGCTGGTAGACAGATTGTGTGTGTAGATAGATAGATAAATAAATAGATGTGTAGATAGGTAGGTAGCTGTGTGTGTAGATAGATTGATAGATAGATAGATAGATAGATAGATAGATAGATAGATAGATGTGTGGATGCACATACATACATAGATAGATAGCTGTGTGTGTATACAGACAGGCAGGCAGACAGGCAGACAGATAGATATCTGTGTAGGTAAGGTAGGTAAGTAGGCAGCTTGCTGTGTGTGTAGATAGGTAGATAGATAGATATCCGTGTAGGTAAGGTAGGTAAGTAGGTAGCTTGCTGTGTGTGTAGATAGATAGATAGATAGATAGATAGATAGATAGATAGATAGATAGATAGATAGATAGATAGAGCGACAATCCCACGCGGCAGGAGACTGGGGGAAGAGGCGGACAGAGGGCTGGAGAAAGCGAGGGTACCTCTGCAGCTGACAATCCCCCTGGATAAAGCCCTTCCCTGCCCTCCTGCAAAGAGAGGTGCGCGCCCTTTCCTCCTGTGCCCCCTTTTCCCTCCTTCTCCGCAGACGAAGAGGAGGAAGGAAGGGGAGCCAGAGATGCTCCCAGGGCTGCCTGGCTTACCTTCGCGGGCTTTGAGCAGGACGGTGTTGGCGACGATGTTTTCCAGCTCCATGGACGAGCCTGGTCTGGGCGAGCTCCGGAGGGCTCTCTGCTGGAGCGAGGAAGGGCGAGGGGATGCCTAGGAGGGCATGCTTGCCTTTCTTTCTTTCTTCTCTCCCTCCCTTCCTTGGATCGGGCTGCCTGCTCGGAGAGGAGCCACTGCTTGCCTGCTTCCCTTCCTTCCTTCCTCTCTTCCTTCCTTCCTTCCTTCCTTCCTTCCTTCTTTCCTTTCTTGCGTCTCTGGGCTACTCCATTCCCCGCGCCTCCAGGAGCCAGCCCACCCTCCTCTCCTTCCCTCTCCTTCCCTTCCCTTTCCCTCCGCTCCTCTCTTCTCCCTCCTCTTCAGGGTTTAAGGTTTCAGATGCTCTTCCCCCTCCCTCTTCGGGGGTGTGGTACTCCTCCCAAGCCTGGAGTTCCGCAGCATTGCGCAGGCGCCATGCTCAACAGCTGGCCCGGGGTTTTTTCCCCCCTTCTTTTTTTTAAGTGCTGCATGCCGGGAGATGTAGGCTGCCTCCTCTCTCTATACTCGGCTTTACCTGAGCGATCAGAGGAGATGCTCCAGCACTCTTGGGCAGAGAAGACCCCAAGAGCCACGATACCATCACACTGAGTGGCCTCCTCCTGTAGCCCAAAGGCACCCTCGAGTGTCCTTGGGAAATGGTGCATCTACACTGAAGAGTGGAGGCACTTTGACACCACTTCCACTGGCATTCCAAGATCTGATCCCAGAGTATTTGCTTATCCCAGATTATCTGGCAGTATGGACTCATATAATCCAGTTTAAATCGGAGCATCTGGGATCTAGGGCAGTGTAGAGCCAGCCTCCATGCTATGCAATCCCGGGATTTGTAGTCTGGTGAGGCACCTGCACTTTTGGGCAAAAGGTGGCTAAAGCCCTTTTGATTGTGGGATGCAGGGAGTTGTGGCTTTTCAAGGTTTTTTTACTGCCTCTGCTCATTGATATGAGATCCAAGGAGTTATAGTTTTGCAAGGTTTCGCAAAGTCTTCTGACTGCTGCATCTCAGTGTTATGGGATTCTGGGTACTGTAGTTTCGCAAGGTCTTTTAACTGTCCTGGCTCAGTGTTATGGGATGCTGGGAGTTGTAGTTTCACAAGGGCTTTTAACTGTCCTGGCTCAGTGTTATGGGGTCCTGGGAATTGTAGTTTTGCAAGGTCTTTTAACTACCCCCAACTCAGTGTTACGGAATCCTGGGATTTGTAGTTTTGCAAGGTCTTTTAACTGCCCCAGCTCAGTGTTATGGGATCCTGGGTGTTATAGTTTCGAATGGTCTTTTAACTGCCTTGGCTCAGTGTTATGAGATCCTGGGAGCTGTAGTTTCGCAAAGTCATTTAACTGTCCTGGTTCAGTGTTATGAGATGCTGGGAGATGTAGTTTCACAAGGTCTTTCAACTGTCCTGGCTCAGTGTTATGGGATGCTGGGAGTTGTAGTTTCACAAGGTCTTTTAACTGCCCCAGCTCAATGTTATGGGATCCATGATGTTGTAGTTTTGCAAGGTCATTTAATTTCCTTGGCTCAGTGTTATGGGACCCAGAGAGTTGTAATTTTGCAAGGTCTTTTAACTTCCCTGGGCTCTGTTATGGAACCCAGAGAGTTGTAGTTTCACAAGGTCTTTTAACTGCCCTGGCTCTGTGTTATGAAACCCTGGGAGTTTTAGTTTCGTACGGGCTTTCAACAGCCCCAGCACTGTGTTATGGGTTTCTGGGAGTTGTAATTTCGCAAGGTCTTTTAACTGTCCTGCCTCAATGTCATGGGGTCCATGGAGTTGTAGTTTCGCAAGATCTTTTAACTGCTCTGACTCAGTGTTATGGGATTCTGGGAGTTGTAGTTTCTGGAGGTCTTTAAACTGCCCCAGCTCAATGTCATGGAATCCAAGGAGTTGTAGGTTTACAAGGTCTGTTAACTGCCCCAGCTCAGTCTTATGGGATGCTGGGGGTTGTAGTTTTACAAGGTCTTTTAATTGCCCTGGCTCAGTGTTATGGGATGGAGTAGTTTCGCAAGACCTTGAGCTGTGTCTGCCAAAGACTACTGGCGCCTCACCAAACAACATCTCCCAGGATTCCATAGCATCGAGTCATGGCAGTCGAAGTGGGGACAAACTGCATTCCTTCTATATAGTATGGATAAGTATAGTAAATAAAGAAATTCTACAATGTGGATGCACTCTTAAGAACGGAAATGGAACAACCGAGTATCAATGGGATTTTTAACAAAGCCTAGCCCGCCTTTTGAGAGAGGGAAGACTGTAACAATCAGGTGTGCATTTATGAAATAAAATCTTGATGAAAACACCACACAATACCTTGCCATGTATCTGCGTTGTAGAATTACTGCATTTCAACACCGCTTTAATTGTCATGGCTTGGTGCTATCGAATCATGGGATCTGTAGTTTTATAAGGCCTTCATAAGGCATAGACACTGTATGTAGAACTGGGAAGCCCTGGCTCTTGAGCATTCTAACTGGAGGTCAGCTGTGACCAGCAGTGCTGCAGATTTCAAAGAGGCACAAACAGAGGGTGAAAGGGAGAAACGTGGCAAGAGGAAGGCGCATCAAGCCAACACCTTCCACCTAGAAACCGATGTCCTCCCTGTGGGAGAACATGCAGATCAAGAATAGGGGTCCATGACCACCTACACACCCAAGCCAAGACACTACACTTGGAGGACCATTATGGGCTACGAGGGATTGCCTAAGTAAGTACTCTTCTCTGCCAAAGAATGCCGATGCCTCACCAAACTACAACTCCCAGCATTGTGTCGCATTGAGTCATGGCAGTCAACATTGCATCAAGCTGCATTAACTCTATCAGTTTATGTGCACGCAAAGCCTAGCAAGGCAATTAAGGGAGGGAAGGCTATAAAGAGCAGTTGTGCTGCCTTGATGAAAACGCCGCACAGTACTTTGTCAAGGTATGGCAAGAATGGTTTCTCCAGTCTCAACAGAAAAAAAATGCTATGTGTAAACCATACTCTGTTTGTTTAATAGGAGTGTTGGTTATAAAGTGTTTCATCACCTTGACGTCAACAGTGAAACTTGACACCACTTTAAACCGTCATGGTTTGATGCTATGGAATTCTGGGAGTTGTGGTTTGGTGAGGTACCTGCAATCTTAGGCAGAGGAAGCTGAAGACCACATAAAATTACAGTTCTGAGCCGCGGTGATTAAAGCAGTGTTAAATTGCATTAAGTCTACAATGTAGATGCACCCTCCGTCTCCAACGAACACAAATATACCTTTCTCTGTATCTCCGTACCAGAACGTGTTGAATTTCAGCTTGTGGGACATTGACAAGTGATCATGCCCACGTTTTGCGGTCCATTCAGTGGGGCTTCCTTCCAAGTAAACATGCCTAGGCTTGGCCTTTGCAGCACTCTGACATCTCGGTATTTGGGAACATTGGTATTTATTAGCGGTATTTGGGAACTACCATTCACATTTGTGGTCTCAAGATAATGAAGCATGCAAGCATCCAGGCCCCGCGGAGTTTCGTGTTTCACCGCAAGGTCTGCACCCTGTTATTAGAACTCCTTTGGTCATGTAGCATGAAATGAGAGTACTGTACATTGCGTTTCTTAGCCATGGGACACAATATGATCTTAAGCTCTCAGCATGAATCAATTCAAAAGTTGTGAGCATTAAAGCATTGCAATAACCTTTAAGACAGGGCAGTTTCTGTTAAAGAAAGTATTGCTAGTTTTCCAGTTTATATATAATGTAATTCCCATATTAAAACACTTTGCTTTTTTTGCTGGTATTGTTGTCTGCATATTTTAGTTGTTGTTTTTGATAATATACTTTATTTATATTCTGCTCTATCTCCCCGAGGGGACTCAGAGCAGATTACAGACAGGGGCGGCCCAACCCATTACACAAAGTAAGCATTTGCAGTATAGTTGATTTTTCCCAGGGGCGCTCTTGACGCGCTCTTGGGGAAAATAGACCTTGACATATGCAAGTTATAGTTACTGGGATGTATAGTTTACCTACAATCAAAGAGCATTCTGAACTCCACCAATGATGGAATTGAACCAAATATGGCACACAGAACTCCCACGACAAACAGAAAATATATATCAGTGATTGGTTGTCGGGGGGGGGGACCACCAAAATACTGTTTGCTTACCATTGAAAATTACCTAGGGCCACCTCTGATTACAGAATAAATATATGGCAAAATTCAATGCCATTATACAATTAACAACAAAGACAGACAGTACACAGACAAAGGTAAAAGCTTCCCCCTTTTAATCTTCAACATCTGGAGGCTGTGCTCAGCTCCGGCCATGAGGATGTCCTGTTATTCCATTTTCCATGCCAAGGAGCCTGTTGCCCATGGACGCCTTCCTGAATGAATTGCCGGCATGTCTGCATGAGTATCCTTTACCTCCCCGCCAAAGTGGTACCTATTGATCTATTCACATTATTGTTTTAGAACTGCTAGGTTGGAAGAAGCTAGGGCTAACAGTGGGAGCTCACCCCGAACTGCAGCTTTGAACTGCCAACCTTCTGATCAGCAAGATTTTTTGCAGCTGGCAAGTTAATGCGCTGTGCTATTGCGAGAAAAGAATTGGGGTGATAGTCAAGAAAATGAGCTTCACGATGCACCTGCACTGTAGAATTAATGCAGTTTAACCCCACTTTCGATGCTATCGCTCACTATTATAGAATCATAGGATTTGAAGCTTGGTGGCAACAGCACTCTTTGTCTTAGAAGGCTAAAGATCTCATAAAACTACAACTCCCACAATTCCATAGCATTGAGCCATGACAGTTAAAAAGTGGTGTCAAACTGCATCCATTCTACAGTGTAGATGCAACCCCAGTGAACAAAATGGAGTAAGCATTAGCTTACTCTGAAGTAGGTCCCATTTTGTTCAACGAGGGTGCATTTACGCTGCAGAATTAATGCAGTTTGACACCACTTTAACATGTGTAATGTTACTCTGCATGTTATAACAAATGACTGTCACCAAAAATCACTGCAAACATCTCCCATTTGAAATAATATTCTGGGAGAAGAAAGATTGACAACTGCATACTTCGTATTAGAATTCAAAAGGAGTTGCAGCCATTGGGTAGACTCAGGCTTCCTGTGAAATATTCAAAAATGGGCTATTTGAAAATCACAGCCTAAAGTCAAGAGCT